CAAGCTGTGGGACGGGTACAGCCTGCTGTTCGTGGAGGGGCAGGAGAAGGCTCACAACCAGGACCTCGGTACGGAGAAACATTTAATATGAAATGTACTTCAGTAAAAAGTACCCATAACTAGCAGCTGTTTTAAAGAGTACCTGACCTCCCTTTATATTAATAGAACAATAATGTAATTGTTAGTTAATGAATGTTTCCATGGTGACCAACGGCAACATGACAACGTTTTCATTGGTCCCTCTTCTTTAGAGAAGACCAGGAAATGATGGATACACGGATCGTGTTCAAATCAATAGGCACGCAATGACTCTAAATAATAATGATCACGCCACCAATCACACATTCAAACTAAAGGAACCAGCCTGTTTGGAAAATGAGAGAAGTAGAAAGTACAGGTATTTGAGTTCAACATGTAAGAAGTAGAAAGTACAGGTATTTGAGTTCAACATGTAAGAAGTAGAAAGTACAGGTATTTGAGTTCAACATGTAAGAAGTAGAAAGTTCAGGTATTTGTGTTCAACATGTAAGAAGTAGAAAGTACAGGTATTTGTGTTCAACATGTAAGAAGTAGAAAGTACAGGTATTTGTGTTCAACATGTAAGAAGTAAATGTAAAAAGTAAAATAAGTAGTGGAGTAAAGTACTGATACAAGAAACATGTACTTAAGTAGAGTAACAAAGTATTTGTACTCCACTACTTCCCACCTCTGCACTGTTAGAGGAGCCTGTGACTTCAGTTGTTCATTGCCTACACTGTAGCTACTGTGCTAATGACAATAAAGCCTTGAAACTTAAAACGTATCACTAATTGTCTGACCTCTCTCACCTCTCTCCCCTCTCTCCCCTCTCTCCCCTCTCCCTCTCTCTCTGCAGGTCAGCCGGGGTCTTGTCTCCCCCGCTTCAGCACCATCCCCTTCCTCTACTGCTCCCCCAACGAGGTGTGTTACTACGCCTCGAGAAACGACAAATCCTATTGGCTCTCCACCAGCGCTCCCATTCCCATGATGCCCGTTGCCGAGCAACAGATTCAGCAATACATCAGCAGGTACTAACCCTCGTTCAGGACTGCAGGATTCATAAATTCACAAACTAAACACCCTGACACTAATCCTAACTGTATTTCCCACCAACGTATGCTGGAGCAAAAGTCCCTACGTATTTTCTGTCTATAAAAGTAGATTTTTTTGCCGTTTTTATGACAGAAATTACGTTTTTTTTTTAACACTGCGGTGTAGATGAAAGCTACGTGGTGACTAACTAAAACAATAATTGCCTCTCTCCTGTCCTTATCTTCCAGGTGTTCAGTGTGTGAGGCTCCCTCTCTGGCTGTAGCCGTGCACAGTCAGGATCTGAACATCCCCACCTGCCCCCCCGGCTGGAGGAGTCTCTGGATCGGATACTCCTTCCTCATGGTAAACCAAACACTATCAATAACTCACAATACACCCTAAAAATTACATTTAGACGTGTTTTAGTGAGATAAGGTAAATAGGAAAGCGTTTTCTTTCATATATGTTCACATTTTTTGTGTAATGGATTGACTTTACTGTCATTGTATACCCCCATAGAGGAACATGGTTAATATCAAATGTTGTCCAAAATACCTATTTTCTACGATTTAACAATTATCAGCTTTATAAACATGTCCTTTCCTCATGGTAAACTTTAAATAACTGACATTAAGCCTCCACAATTACACCAAACTACTGATAGATGTCTCCAGGTAATACTCATGTCCATTTCAATAGGGTTAACTTATTTTCTTTCTGTACAGATAGCTAAGACCCTTGAGGCCCTCAAACTAGGTTTTAATTATGTTTTCTTTGTTTTTATAAATGAAGAAGTTAAAGCCGAAGAGAACTGTCTTTTCCGAGTGAAGTGGCTCTATTTTATACAACATTGTAACACCAATCAGCTTGCTAAACATGTCCCATTTGCTCTCCTAAAAGGTTAAACAGGTTAACTTGTGCAATGCCTTCTTAACATGCTGCTCTGACAAAAGAATTTCCCAATTTGCAATCAATAAAGAATATCTCATCTAATCTAATAAAGACTATTAAACAACTGAACTTTTGAAAGAACATTCATCTGTTTGCAACTTACACATTATTTATCTAATACACGGGTGTCAAACTCAATTTCATCGCGGGCCACATCAGCATTATGGCTGCACTCAAAGGGCCGGTTGTAACTTTAAGACTATATAAAAATACATATACAAATATTTAATATATATAAAATAATGTATTATATGACATTATTGCCTCTGCATTGGATTATTATCGGATAGGGTAATAACTAACTACGTCTGAAAGCAGAAGTCTAGGGCAAATAATTGCAAGCCTCTTCAGTGAGAAGGTCACAAAATGATTTAAAAAGAAAAGCCAGATTCTGGAAAAACAAAGAAAAATAAGTGAAATAAAAATAAAAAAAGTGAAATTTTGGAAAAAAAAGTAATATTTAAAAAATAAAAAATTTAAATTCTGAGAAAAAAGTCAAATTTGAGATGCATTGTGGGACATGTAGTTTATGGGCAACGTGCTTCTGTAAAGTAGCATGTAACCGTATAATAAACATATTACATTCTTTGCAAGCTCTTATGGGGCCACAGAAAATGAAGTCGCGGGCCGGATTTGGCCCCCGGGCCTTGAGTTTGACACCCCTGATCTAATATATCATATTCCAATGACTTGTACTCTTCTTGCACTATTTCTACTCTATTGTATTTGTATTCACTTTCACTATGTTATCTGTGTTATTGTGTTGCACTTTTGGAGGGGCAAATGGGACATGTCTAGCAAGCTGATAATGGTTTAAATGTTGTAGAAAATAGAGCCATTTCACTCAGAAAAGACATTTCTCTAGGGCTTTAACTTCTACATGTATTCAAACTAAGAACACATATTTAAATCCTAGTTTGAGGGCCTCAAGGGTCTTAGCTATCTGTACAGAATGCAGACAGAATTCATTGACATAACCACACTGTAGCTAATGTACAAACAACAATAAAAGCCTTGAATCTAATAAATACTAAATGTCCCTCTCTCCGTGCAGCACACAGCGGCGGGATCTGAAGGTGGCGGTCAGTCTCTGAATTCCCCCGGTTCTTGTCTGGAGGATTTCCGCGCCACGCCGTTCATCGAGTGCAACGGAGCCAAGGGATCCTGCCACTTCTTCGCCAACGAATACAGCTTCTGGCTCACCACCGTGCAGCCGGGCACGGAGTTCCTCTACTCCCCCGGACAGGAGACCCTGAAGGGCGGCCAGGAGAGATCCAGAGTCAGCCGCTGCCAAGTCTGCAGCAAGCTGTTGTAGTATCAGCACCTCGGAGGAGAACAAGAGGTGTTAAAGGTCACCTATTATGCAAAATCCACTTCTCCATGTCCCTTCTACAGCAACATGTGTCCCCTCTGTGTAAAGACACTCTGAAAGTTTCAGGAACAAAGATTCTCTCTCTTTTTGTCCTGATCCATTTCTATAAAAACCTGTCTGAAAATCAGCTGATCAGATTTTGGCCACTTTATGATGTCATCACGATGTGTTGGCTTGAGTAACCATTAGCCAATCAGATGTGTTGGCTTGAGTAACCATTAGCCAATCAGCAACCAAGATAACCCCCCCCCCCTTATCACCTGAATCTCCTCCGAGAGCACCATTGTGTCCTTTCTAACCAAATCTCTCTCAGAGGGGCGTGGGGAGGGGCTCCTTATTTTCATCTAAAGTAACAGACAGAGAATCAGCACTTTGGAAACAGGGCTGAAACAGAGGGGATTATGGGTAATGCTGCAATGTTGGTGTTTCGAGCCAATCAGAGACATGTTTTGTATATATCTGAGACCTATACTATATTGATCAAAAACAGTATAATAGGTGACCTTTAAGGAGGAGACTGAAACACTGACTGAAAAGAAGCCCCTCTCTCCTGCTTCTCCAAAAACAACATCAGAGTTTTAGGAATGAATTGCTTATTAAAAAATGTTATTAAAAAAAAAGGAGCGTTGAGGAGGGAGGAAATGGAAAGAGAAGAGCTGCATATGTGGTGGTTCTTCTCCAGATCATCACCGACAATGGTGCTATTGTGTACGTGTTTATTTTGTGTCTGTTGTCTCGTTATGCTTCTTTTTTTTCTTTTTTTTTGTTGAGGAGCATTCTCGGCTACCTCGGAGAGTGCCAACCCACTTTGTATAGCACCGATTACACCAAATGTGCTCCAGATCGATCCGTTTTAATTCAGTTTTGTTTGAAAGTTGGTTAAAATTAAAGTCTTAACTTCTGTAAACTGATCCAACTGAAGTAAAATCACCTGATTCCTGTTCAAAAACGCCTTTTTAGTGAATTAGCCGCCATAAAACGTTGCTTTTTTTTTGTATTTAGCGCCCTCTGCACCTGCTTTAAATGCATTTATGTCACAGGTTACCTTAAGAGAAACAACCGATTTAAATATTCTCGCAAAAGAGGGTTTTATTTGTATGGAAATCAAATAACCCAGACATGTTTTAAGGCAGAAAAGAACCAGATGTATCCAAATCCTTTCGATAATTTCCACGTTTGCTCATTTGATTTGATTCTCTATCAACATAATAACTTATGTGTCGAACAAACTCCAACATCGCAGCTTCAAAGTAAGCGTTTTCAGACAATATAACGGTACTTCCACAGGGCAGCGTTGCATTGAAGCTTGCCGGTGGGCGTGTCTGGCTTGCGACCAACAACCAATCACATTAATCTCCCGCCCCGGACACACAAGCACGCGATTTGATTGGCTGACGCTTGAAAAGTTCTCAACTTTCTAGGCAGAGCAACGGAGGCAAAGCGACGCGTGACGTCACCCCCATTCAAAGTGATGGGAAGCGTCTCCGTTGAAGCACGCGACGCTGCCGTGTGGACGTACCGTAGCATGTTCCTTATGATGTTTTTTTCAGCGCTTTCTACAGTCAGATTTTCAAAGTTTACAGGAATGATCTGTAACTTGGCGACCTGGAAGTTAGGAAATATGAACGTGTAAAGTATCACGAGCTTGTAAGATCCTTCTTTTCTGGAAATAATAGTTAAAAAGGAGCTTTTATTAATTATGTCCTAAGTTAAGTCCACCTGCTAGTGAAGCTAGTAAGTGGAACATGAGTTAAAGTTCGTAATTTGCCGTTGTCTTTCACAATCATAAAATAAAATGCCTCTGCAGTCGTTTTAAATTCACATTTTTCCTGTTTTATACGCCTTTTATATCTGTTCATTTCATTATGGTGCTACAATACCCTGACAGCTGACTTGAAAGACAACTTTTTAAGACATTAAACCGAATGCATTTCAAGGAATAAGCAACACTTGCTAAAAACAACTGTAGTTATGATTGATATATCTTCTATATATTGCACTGATGGGTTAGAATAATAGACCAAATCCACCTTCATCTTTACGTTGTGACCAAACTAGTGTTTTTCTTTTTAAATCACCCCAACCAAACACACTCTCTGATAGATTTTGAATTATTGCTGTACATAGTGCTTACTGTATTTCCCACCAAAGTATGCAAAAGTCTATAAAACTTTATGTTTTTTTTTCTCCAGTCTGTATCTTTCGTCTGTCCTTGTATAAGAAATAGGAAGAAATACGTTTTTTCTGTCTATAAAAGTAGCCGTTTTTATGACAGAATTTACGTTTTTTTTTTAACTGCGGTGTCGATTTAATCCTCTTCTCGTTATCGTTGGACTTTGAAAGCTTCTGGGTGACTTGTAACCACTATGACCACTGTGTGTAGCACATAGCGCTGTCTCTCTGCTGGTAGCCCTGATGTTATTGCGATGTCACAGCCTTTGTGGTTTTGTAATCTAGATTGTAATTATTTTACCTAAATCATGATACTATCCCCTGGTTTGTATTTACTGAGTTGGGAGGGAATGGGAAGATAATGATGTGTACATTAAATATTATGAGGAAACAAAACAAAATGCCTTTTAGGATTGTGTTTTTATATGGAAAATATATTCGCCACTGATGATTTAACAGACCCCGAACAACCGTCTGTTTTGGTCTTTACCCCCATTTTCCAAACAAACGTGGTTTATGCCTGGAGTGACAGAGAAGAAATGCAGTTTTCCTCAAAGAGGATCGATCACGATAACATGGTAATGACATGTCTGTTACTGTAATGTGTATTTCTGTGCTCACACACTTAAATAAAGTCTCTAAACTAACTGAGAATATTCCTTGGAGATGGTTTTGTTCGTAAAACAACGAGATATTTCAGGTATTTCTACGTGTGAACTCCACTCAGAAGATGACAGGTCTTTGCTTTGTGCTTGGAAAACCAAATTATAACATTTCCACCTTGTTTGAAACATATTGCCTTGTACAACTAAGAAGACCCCTAACTTAACTTATCCCTAAGTATTGCACATAAACGAGTAGAAAATACACAATTATACTCAAAATAGCAGATCAAACTGAAATTCAAGAGTGAAATTATAATAGGTGACTGAATATCAAAATATGTAAACTATATCTGACAAATAAAATACTATTGAAAAATATTCGTGCACAATAAATGATAGAATTATATAATATATATTTCCTATTGTCTATTTATTGTCTTTTTAAAATTATTATTATTTGTATTTATTCGCTGTTTCTCACATCTTTCATTTATCATATATACTCTACAAACAACCCCAGGCCGTGCATGATTCAGATATAAAACAATTTAATATACATAGTACATATATAATTAATAAACAAAACATACAAGTTAAAAGCCAAGTAGTGGAAGCAAAATATATAATAAAAATAGTGGTCAAACATGGTCTACAGTGAATTTAAAAAGTAGTAGGTGAAACAAAAATGAATATTGAAGTATGTTAACACCTGAACTCCTAAAAAACTGTATAAAAAATAAACTTTTTAATTGATTGAGACCAAAAAACGATAATGAGTGTATTAAAATTGAACTGTAATGACACCTCCATGACAGCAGGGGGCGACAGAGCCCTTCCTTAGCAACAGAGGAATCCCAGCATAACAACAACACAGCTGCTAACGTTAGCTCGAAGAGGAGCGGAGTGTATTTTTCTGCTAATTGGGAACTTATCAACAGGTGAGTCTCACATCCGACAGCCCAAACAATGTATAACATACGTGTTCACCTCATGTGTTATGATGTTACATGTTAATCTGTTTCAGATGTGTGTAAAATCGTTAGCTTTGAAGCTAGCATTAGCTCCGCTAGCTCGCTAATAAATAGCATCACCTACTAACGTTTTATTTCTGTTTAATATCAAATGTTTCAGCGGGAATAAAGACAAATGTTGCTTAGTTAAATGTGTAACAGTGGTTAAATGTTACTGCCATTTTCATCACTGTCAGCTAGTTGATGCTACAGTTAGCTAGCTTTTCTATTTTAAAGATGTATTAGCTTCACGGACAGTTGCTAAAGATGGTTTCTTTAGATGGTTTTGTAATTAAAAATACATTTTATAGTGTTGCATGCCGGGTTTATACGTCTTTACGGTAGCTATGGTTGATGGTGCCTTCATATCCTTAAGCATCCATCTGTTTTTCACATAAGCAGTATTTTATTCCTCTATATTTTACTTTATGTTTTAGCTCGTATTTACTTCTCCTGCATGTAACTGCACATTGGTCACTTGGTTACATCCTCCTGCGCTATTTTATTTATTATTTGTTTATTTTTTCATTATCTGTATTGTTGTATGTCTTACATATATTTATGTTGCATTGATGAAGGAGACTGAAGGAGATTTTCATAGCCATATCCACACTGTAGCTGCTGAGCATCTGTCAATAAAGCTTTTGAATGTGACGTATTATGCTCCGGAGAAGAGAAGCTACTACTTTACAGAGAAATACTTCTTAATATAAGGATTTGTTTAAAATACCGGCTCTAACAATATATATAGGAGATAAAACAGATACAACAGTGCAGGAGAAAGGGTTTAATAAAAATGTCTTTGTGTTTTAAAAGCTGTATTTGGTAAAGTTTCCTTACAGTTTTGGGTTTAGAGGAGGCGCCGTGGGAATTGTAGTCTTTTATACTCTGGTTGACTACAGACGTCACGATTAAGTGGCCTTTCTTTTAAAAAACAAAACACTGGCTCAAACAATATCTCCTGTTCTCCTTTTTCCTTCGATGCAGGTACGCTGGAATTTTCTGACACCCACTCGGACATGTCCTATGTCTTCATCAACGACTCGTCGCAGACCAACGTGCCGCTGCTGCAGGCCTGCATCGATGGAGACCTGCCGTTCGCCAAGAGGCTCCTGGAGACGGGCTGCGACCCCAACATCCGGGACAACCGGGGCCGCACCGGGCTGCACCTCGCCGCCGCCCGGGGCAACGTGGACATCTGCCGCCTGCTGCACAAGTTCGGGGCCGATCTGCTAGCCACCGACTATCAAGGGAACACCGCTTTGCATCTGTGCGGACACGTGGACACCATCCAGTTCCTGGTGTCCAACGGGCTGAAGATCGATATCTGGTAAGCAGAGTACACGCATCCTTTACTCGAGTAGAAGTACACATACTCATAAGTAAAGAGGCTTTGAAATGTACTTAAGTAAAAAGTACCCATAACTAGCGGCTGTTTTAAAGAGTATCCAGCTGCATCCAGTAGTATAGGAGATAACTGATTCATCATTTCATTTACAGACTAGCTTGCCCTATCAAATGGTGGTTAAACCACTTGATGTTATCTTTACAGGACAGAGTAAATATTGGGACTTAGATAAATAGACACTTTATAAGATAAGATAGACCCTCATTAGGGAAATGCAGGTGTTCAAGCAGCAACAGTGTAAGAGTTCACACAAGGATAACACAATTCAAAATACAATGACATAAGCAACTGTTCAAATAAGATATCACAACAACAGGGTGAATGTTGATCAGTTGAATGAACATATACTTTTTTTTAATTAGGTGCAACCACAGTGAGGTGGTGCATTACTGCAGATCTTAAAGGGGACCTATAGTGCAAAATACACTTTTTGATGTCTTTTATACATGTGTTCCCGGTGTGTGTGGCGCAGTGGGTTGTGTGTAGGTGTTGGGATCAGGGGGTCACAGGTTCAAACCCCACTGCAGTCAGCATGTCGTTGTGTCCCTGAGACACTTCACCCAAAATTGCTCCTGTGGGGATTGCCCACAGTACTGAGTATGGAAGTCGCTTTGGATAAAAGTGTCTAACAAGTGACATGTATGTAATGTAATGTATAAATGTAATGTCAGGGAACTCAGGCCCTTATACCCGAGTCAGCACTTTAGTAACAGGAAGTGAAACATATGAGGCATGGCTAGAATGGGTGGTCTGTGTGGTATTATGATGCCATAGACGTGACCTTTAAGCATTATACAATTTTGGTTCACTACTTCCTTTCTGACAGAAAACGGATGCAGGGTTTTGATGCAGGGTTTCGATATGATTAGCTCTGTGGTTGCTAGAGAAGTTTCATGATCTGTTTTCAGATTTAGAAACATGGACAGTCTGGGAGATCATCTGTCCATGTTTCTAAATCTGAAAACAGATCATGAAACTTCTCTAGCAACCACAGAGCTAATCATATCGAAACCCTGCATCAAAACCNGGATGGCTACGCAGTACGCAGTCTACTGTCCCGAAGCTACTGTCCCGCAGCTGCTGCCTCTCTGTTGGACTCCGGTACTGCACATTACTCACGAGACGTTGTAAAAAAAAAAAATGAGTGAGTGGGGGGCGAACGCACTAACCACTCCGCCAACGCCACTGTCACCCCCACCGTGCGGGCCGGATGAGAATGTCTGGCGGGCCGCATGTGGTCCGCGGGCCGCCAGTTGATGGCTACTGCTGTACGTTGTTGCAAAATCTCTTCCTACAGTGATCCTTTCGTAGGTCTTATGCCATTGTTATTCTACTCAATAACATCTGAATGGTAGAGTTGTAGTACTCACCTCTCAATCCTGTCAGTCCAGGAACCCCGGGGGGTCCTACCTTCCCAAGATCTCCCTTATCTCCCTTTGGACCCGGAGGACCTGCAGAGAGAAACACTATTGATGAGATCAAGTATTGGTGATATTATGCACTCAATGCAAACACCAATGCACACTTTGTCGTTGATTGTAGATAGTTGTTAACCACATACAGCACACTATCTTGCAGTTATAGGATGATTAAATTTACTGAAGTTTAGAGGAAAAAACTAAACTTTGTCCGCTTAGATTTCTGGTGTTTTATCATATATGTTTCATAGGAGAATCATGATTGTAGATTGTGGAAAACAACATCAAGTTGAAGAAAAGATATTTGATGCAAACACGTAATTCCTGCTTTACTACTTACAGCAGGGTATTCTCCAAAGAACAAGGATTTAGGAAGAGTCCAATTCAAGTTACAATAGTGTACAGTTTAACAGGTTTTTACAAAGTAGGATGCATATATTTTTATTTCATTCACTATAAATTGACATCAACATCAGAAATAGAAGCTCCACCAAGGGTGTGTCAGGACGTTTATTATTACAGCATGTTGGAGCCCTTATCATGAAAAGTGTTGCCAAAGTCAAGGAAGGCAGTAACCGTGTAGCCTATCACTTAAAAAGGGAACACATGGAACTGAGAGAGATACGAACAAATGAGCCTAATTTCTGCAGATAATGATGTTATCAGTGTCAAGAAACACGGGTATTTTCTTGTCTTTTATTATAGTTCACACACACCAAACACACAGTGACATGGCGGCCAAAATGTAGGCCAAACTTGTTCTTACAACTGGTCCACGGATTCAATCCAAAACGTTTATTGTACTTGGAAAGAGGAGAGAGAGAGAGGGAGAGAGAGAGAGAGAGAGAGAGAGAGAGAGAGAGAGAGAGAGAGAGAGAGAGAGAGAGAGACCACAATGGGAACCACATGTTTAACAAGGTGGACTGCAATACAGCTTGTGGCAATGCTTAACAGTTCAGAGCATGTTATTGTCCAGCACATGTCCAGCGGTTCTGATCCTTCAGAGCCGCTAATGTTCTTCATCTGAAGCTGCTGACTGACTTTGAGATACAGATTGAGCTTCTTCACAACTGGACACAGTTAACTGGTCACCACAGGTCACGAGACCGTGAAAAGGTCACATTAAGAAGGAAGGCTGGGTGTCTACTGCCCCATCTGTGTATCGGTGTGTGTTGCTGTATTTCTATTCTTGTGAAGCCCACAGAGTGAGGACTCTCAAGGAGTTCAGGTTAAGGTTAGCATTAAGTTGAATTGCAATGAAAAGTTGATCTATAGCAAAACAATTGAGATTCATTTTTGAGTTTGTTGCCGTTGTTTAGAATAAAATGCCAAACATTCCTTTCTTCCAGCTTCTTCATTGTGTCTGCTTTTATAATTAAAATACCTTTAGGTTTTGTGGTGTTGGCTTGTGAAAGTTACTTTCTTCTGACATTGTATCTTTTGACCTGAGCTAAACTTTGGTCCTCAGTCTTAATATTGGGCCTCTGCACACTTTTGACTGGACTTCTTAGATCTATGGTCTTCAGCAGTCAACAATACAACAGATGTGGCAACAATCTAAACGCAACAAGGTGATAAATATAAAAAGATCTTCATGCAAGTGTTTGTGCCTATTACTAGAACGTTTAGGAGTCAGGTTTTCTGGGTATTGGGTTTTTATTTTATTGGGCACACCAGTTAATTTAATAAGGGCTAGTTTGTGGATCCAATGTCCTCCAGGGGAATGTGATGTTTGAACCATGTTTTGTCCAATTAATGTAATAGATATTTCAATGGAGAACTGAAACCATGACTTGCTGTGGGAGCGAGTTGAATTGTTAGAGGTTCACAAAGGTCAGCAGGACCGTGAACTTCTGCACAACATTTCATGGCAATCCATTCAACACATGAGAGTAAGATATGTTCAGGTCAGAAAAGGTCGAACACACATTTCGGGGCCCAAGTAGACATGGTACGTTGTCCCACTGATTGAGATGTTGTAGTTCTCTCATTTATCTTAGTCTACTACTTACTTTGATCTACAACAAGCAGCTCTATGGTCACTCGTTGCCAAAAAGTTCCCCACCCTTTGGAGGCAACAGTTTTCGCCCTAGGAGGCTAAAATGTGGCTTGAAGGGTAAGTATTGGGCTGTGAATGTGTGTGTTGGTGTTCATGCCAATTGGCGAAAAGGGATTTAGCATCAACAGGGGAGTTAACGTACCACAACCCATCTTAAGAATTGTTTGTTGTAAACTCTTGTCGGAGTAGCCAAAGTTAAATAAAACCCAAAATGTTTCTTTCAGCAGTGAGAGAAAGCTGGACACATCCACTCCAACCTTTACATAGATCAAATACTGTCTGGAAATCATCTACTTTTTAAAGATATATGAGTGTGTCTGTCTCGCCCAGCTTTGGTAAAGACAGTTCACCCTGGTGGTCCTGATGAACTTGCGTCCTCCAAAATAGTTTGTTTTAGCACAGCTTCACATTATTAATCTCTTGGCTCTCCGGGACCGATGTCTTCATTCAGCTGAGAGTGGTTCAACAATAACAAGCCCAGCGGTCCCTTCAGGAACATCTGACAGTGCTGAGTCCAAGAATACAACACCAGTGTCGAGTTCAGGCGCCTCCGTCCAACATTCAGTCAATCTAATATCGGGTGGAGCAACAGGGCAGTGAGTCTGTATTTTCGTATGTCAGATGTAGGGAAGATAAGGACGGGGTTTGTTGAAATACATCACCATGACGAATGACGCAAGGCATTATCAAGGTTTAAGTTATTCGAGAATACAGTCAATTTAACAGAGAACAGATGGACAACACTGTGGTCATAAGGAGGCTAACCTGTTCAATGTACGGTATGTCCCTAATGTAAGAGGGCAGGGCTGTGTTTAAAAGTGATTTATCCTGAGGGGATTTAGAGCAGAGTGCTGTGGTTGGACAGATACTGTTACACTGAGACATTTACAGTATTGGCCTGGATATAAGACAATATGTATTTCCCTATTGACCCTTAGAGACATTTTAAGTTATGATATTTCATGAGGACAGTAAGATGTTGGAATCTAGACGTAGTGAAAGTTGACACTATCTATGAAGGAAATCGTTGAAATGGATAACCTGCGCTTCCCATCTTTTTTGTTTTTGTTGAAATTACATTACATTACATGTCACTTGTTAGATGCTGGAGAACTGTATCTCAGAACGATTAGAGGTACTTTTATACGGGTTTATGCATACTCTCAGATATTGTACTTTTTACTCCACTACATTTATTTGACAACTTTACTTACTGTATGGTTTAAACTTCATATATTTAAAAAAAAAAATAAAAACGTATGGTCAGCTTGTAAAATACATTACATTACATGTCACTTGTTAGACACTTTTAACCAAAGCGACTTCCATACTCAGTACTGTGGACAATCCCCACAGGAGCAATTTGGGGTGAAGTGTCTCAGGGACACAACGACATGCTGACTGCAGTGGGGTTTGAACCTGTGACCCCCTGATCCCAACACCAAGGCTCTATCCACTGCGCCACACGCCTC